CCAGGCCGACTCCACAGGCTGGATTTAAGCTTCCTGCCAAAGGCACTGCAAAAATATTTTTTGGCTTTCTTGACTAAAAATTTTTAATGTTCCTTTATTTCTATTTCATGCCAGACCAGGACCCTGTGAATTTTACCTATGGCAACAAGCAGGATAAGCACTTATTGCTTGTGTTTTCACAGTTGCGGGTAGCAACCATTATACTTTATCCCTGAAGAATAGGAGTACTTTAACATTATTAATACCTCTCACTAACAGTTGCATATAGCTGACAGCATGGTCATTAACTGTAGGCCTCAAGATTGAAAAAAAAATGGTTAGCTTTTTGGACTTTTGAGATTTTCCCCATCCTATATTTTTTGTAACTTTTTGCTTAAGGAAATGAAAACTTGCAAATTTTTTCAGAGCATTTTGATTGGTCCCCATAATGGTATTGTCAAAATGTGGTTTTCTTTTTTTGAAAGCAACCTTCACACATAGAATATAAGTAGTGGTGGGATTCAAAAATGTTTTACTACCGGTTCTGTGAGTGTGGCTTGGTGGGCATGGCAGGGGAAGGATACTGTAAAATCTCCAGTTAGAGGTGGTATTTGCCGGTTCTCCAAACTACTCAAAATTTCTGCTACTGGTTCTCTAGAACTGGTCACAACCTGCTGAATACCACCTCTGGTATGAATCCAACACAGTTGATTAATTGATGGTTCTGGGTGAAAACACAGAAAATGAATTAATTTAGTAGCCAGGCTAAGCATCCTATATGTATTAATGTAACAATTTAACTCAGCTAGGTAGCTATGTTATGCCCTAGAATATCAATATCCTTGGTCTTCTTATCCTTGGTCTTCTTCCCTAACATCCTGGCTAGGGAATTCTAGGAATTGAAGACCACACAACTTAAAATTGTTGAGAAGCACCGATATGGAATCACATGTGTGCCATGGGGGAAAGTTAGGATCAAAAATGAAAGAAATGTCTTTTCAGAACTGTTAAAGTGGCATGAGATGCATTTTTTTCCTTACTCTTCTTTCTCTTTTTCTTGCAAGCTGCTGTCCCAGTTATGTCTGACCTCCCTGCCTTGGGCAGGAAAACCCTCTGCTGCTGCTGCTGCCGCCGCCGCTGCTGCCTCTCCTTCTCCATCATGTGCTCACATGAGGGTATGAAGAGCTGCTGCTGCTGCTGCTAGCACCATCGCCGCTGCTGCCACTGTTGCCAAGAAAAAATATGGATGCTTGTGGGGGATGCTGGACAGACCAACTAACCAACCAACCAACCAACCATGTTCCTCCCCACTGCCCTCTTCCTAGTAGCAGCAGTGGCCGATGGTCAATGATGAACTCAAGGGACTCAAGCCAAGGGAGGGGCTCCTTCCCCAGAGCGGCAGAGGGAAATGGCCTTCCACCTCGGCCTCTATTTATTGTTGTTGTTTGTTCCAGGCAGGGACCTAAGAATGTGAATGAGAAAAATGCGGTTGCCCGCCCATCCTATCCCGCTGCTCTGACACCAGATCTTTCCGGTGGAGCAGGGGGAGGAAAAGTGAGGGGATGCCTCTATTTCCTGTTGCCATGTGCCACATATTGGACCAAGCAGCCCATCTTGGCCAGTTCCCCTTCCCTGCCCTGCCATAGGTGCTAAATATTCCGCCAGCATTTTTCCTTTCCTTTCCTTTCCTTTGCATTGCTGCTATGAAGGGGTGCCGTTTCATTTCCTGATGACAAAAAAATAATAATAGATGGTTGTTCAAAGGCCAGTTCTTTTTTTTTTTCCCCTGCCCCTTCCTATCCCTCTTCTCAACAAGGGGAGAATATTGAAGCCAGGAGGAACAAAGCCAGTGTACCACCTCCTGCTCACACCTACCCCAAAGAGCAACCTGCCTCTAGGCCCGAAACACAGAGCTTAAATTTTGGATGCCTGAATATAAAGGTTCTTCTCTGTCCAGAAGTAGCTGCTTCTCAGGACAAGTCAACAAATAAAAAGAGTTCCCTCTTTCTCTTCTTTCCCCCTTGCCTTTGCAGCTCCCTCTTCCTTTAGATGAGAGAACGCCCGGAGGAGGAAGGAGGAGGAAAGAGGACTAGAAATTGTCATCCAAACTCTCTTGGTGCTGGCATGAAGCAGTCCCAGTAGATAGGTGGTCCATCTGGTGTGATGGAGCATCACATTTCTTCTTTTCTTTCTTCTTCTTTTTATGAGAGCAGAGAGTGGGGAATTCAAGTCCGAGATGCTCAAACTGGAAAGAGTAGACTTCAGCCTGTGACGGTCACTGGAGATAGGACTCTGGACTTTATTGATATGGCACACAGATCTCCCTTCCTCCAAGACTATTGTAATATAAGAGTTGTATTTTCTGTGTATATCTGTGCTGTGGAATCTCGTGTAAATTGAATTTCTTTTTCGACCGCCATTACAGGTTCTCTGTTAATTTAATAATGTGTCCTGCTACCCCTCTGCCCTGCACGCCAATAATTTTTATTTGATGTTTATATATTTTCACCTTTTTTTTTTTACATTTTTATTTCAGCTGTTCCTTCGAGGAGAATGTGTGGGTGTGAGGGGCAAAGCAAAGGGGTAGTTTTGCATGACAAAAAATGGGTAGGGGAGGAAAAATAATATACAATCTTAAGAAATCAAATCTGTCAGGGAGATTGTGAGGGGTAAGCAGGAAGCTGAGGTACTGGAGGAGCTATCTTCTTCTGGTCCCCCTTCATTCCCGTTTGCTTCCAGGGAAGGCAGAGAGGGTGGGTTACAAAGGGGAATGAGCTAAGAAATGTTTTTTAAAGAAAAAAAGAAAAAAAAACTTTGAAAACGTTTTCTAGGATCTGCAGATTTTTCTTTATGAGCAAGGTACAGAATTGACAAGAGGATTCCCATTTGCTCTCTGTGAGGCAATTCCTGACATTCTTTGCTTCTACTGTATTGTAGCTTTTAGGAGCCCACCATTCTTCTAACAGAACCAGAGGTTGGAGGGAGAGTATAATGCTCCCTTGCTCAGCCCAGCACTGCTTGATTTCAGATCCTGCACCCAAAACCTTGTCTATATTGCAATACTGTAAACTACTTTCAGTACAACCAGCATTTAAGAGTTAACATAGCAGTGGGAAGGATAAAGCTTATACATATATTGCTTTTATTGTAGATACAGGAAATTGTATGAGAAGCAGCTACCACAGATCCAGAAATGCAAGCTGCAGTACATAATAGTGCCAGAATTTAAATCTTAGGTCTTTTTCCTTCCACTTTTATTTGTTAACAGACTTCTTGCCCCTTATTTCTTGGTCTTTGAAGGGAAGGGCACCAGAAACACATCCTGCTCTGGTCTTTAGAATCTTGTTTTATTTTGCTAGCTTTAGCCTTTCTACCTAGCATGCCACCCACTCTACTGATAATATGGTGCTTTCTCTGACGTACTCTCAATATTGATACAAAAGGATTGGGAGCACCAAGGATCAGATTCCTACTTAGCAATGGAGTTCATTGGGTGACTTGGGGCTACTTGCCATTTCAGCCCAAGCAAACTTACAGGAATATTGTAGCAATAAAAGAGTGTGTTGCCCACCTCTTTCCTGTCAGCAACTCTCCACATGGTGTGTTTCAAGAGCTCCCGTCCCCAATTGACCACTCCACTTTTAATATTCTCATGGTTTTATTTTTCCATCTCTTCTCCTGCCTTCCATTCTGTCTGCTCACCTGATTTTCCTACACCCTTTCCTTCTCTGCTTCAGCTGGTGTTTCAGCACTACATCTCCCATTCAGAAGGCTTGTCCATTAAATCCAAAATCTATAAAATTGAGATCCATTAAACAGTGGGTAAGTAAGCACAGAAGCACCCATAATGTGAAATTTAGAGTCTTTCCAGACTAAACTTTTCTTAAGCAATTACCTGTGACTTTTTCTTAAGCAATCACCTAATGCTAATGGACTTCATATGTTGTTCAGATGATTATTCCTATACTTCTAAAACTCGCATAGTTTTATTTTTTTCCCTTTTTGCCAGGATGCATGGTTCCACAGGCCACTGGATTTATTGTGGAGGAGCCATCCATTTAGAAATGCCCTAGTTAATAATCTACCTCTCCAAACTAACATAATTGGAACAATAAGACCACCAGGTTTGGAATTTTATTTTTTTCCTCCTGGCAGTTGGTTAATACTTTGTGTGTCTATTTAATTATTTGAAAACAGGATACTTAGAAGTCAAAAGTCCAAAGGCTTTTGGGTTTTGTCCAGCCTCTTTTGATGCCCAAGACTGAACCCATTGATTTCTTTACCTCTTCATTGACAGCTACTTTTCTCTTATATTAGAGGGGGGAAAGAGATGTCCAAGAAAACACTGGACACCAATATGTAAGCCCCTTCCTCCCCATAATCAATTCCCCTCATGGTCTCTAACTCTCTTTCTATAAATACATTGCTCTTTTCATAATAAGGATGGGCCTTGTGTTAGCTTTTCTGTTAGTACCTCTGCATCTGCACCTGTGATCATAGGTCTGCATTAGTGCCCAGATCGTGCATTCTGGTAGCTTGGTAGCATCTGCAGAATAATCTGTTGTAGATATATCAGATACAGGCTGCAAAACGAAGAGTGTGCAGTTTTTACTACCATCCAATAGTTGTCAGGATCTGCCTAGATATAGAATCCTCATCCAGGGTCAATTTAGTGTACTAACAGAAACCCAAATTGAAAGCAGATTTATTTTAGTCAAAAACACATTTAGTGGTCAATACTCACTAAAAGGTGCCACTCTTAAAATAATTTTAATGGAAAGGGGGTGGCTTTCTTTTCCTTACTCAATACAGAGGATCCAAGGAAGAGCTAATCAGGGACAAAAGGTACAGAAACAAGACTTTGTCCTATTCTTCATGGCATCCTAGAGGTTTCCTCCATTTAATGAGGAAAAAAAATATGCCCCTTTCCCCAATTCCCTAAAACGTTGAGCTCCTTGGATGATCAAATTTCTTAAGGCCACTTCATCAAAGTGAAGGCTTTAGAGAAAACAAACAATGAGTTTAGAAGCAAGTTTAAAGTTTATTGTTCGTGAAAACTAGACAAAGTGAAGGCTATAAATTAAGTTTAAAAAGTCTGGAGAAGAGCATCCATTTGAGTGGAGAGAGAAGATTACTTTTAATTGAACCAAAGCAAGTGAGTCTCAAAATCTGAAGTCACAAGAAAGCTCAGAATTGAGCTTGGAGTCTATCTCGCGCATCTGTTCAGATGTGAACAAATAAGATTCGGAATCAGATTCTGTTCACACTATTTACTTCTTGAAGCAGTAGGTTCTATCAACATCCCCCAACCAAACTCTTTCTTGTGTTTTGATTTTGTTCAAAAACGTAATCTACACCTGAACAAATGAGACAAACCATTAATTACCCTCAGCCAAGTTCTGTTTGCAATTTATCCTCACTCTGAGTCTATAGGATCTAGTCTTCAGCTGAAGTTCCCTATTTGGTTTAATGTATCCAATTTTGGCTTCCTGAGATTCAGTACAATGGCCAGACATCAGATGCAGAAAAAGTGGTATGATGCAGGAAGAGGAAAAATGATACAACAGATCAATTCTACTGATTATCAAGTGAGGGATGCTAGCTAATATATAAGCAAAAGTGGCTGAGAATAGAATATAATGGGGGTTGTAAAATAACTCATTTCTTAGCACCTGGTTAGGAAGATTGCATACAATACTTTTAATTAAAAAAATGTAGAATAGGGTATAAAGCCTATGGCTGTGCCTACAAAAAGAAAAGGGCTACTTCTGGTTATGTCAGCATTTTTATTGTGCATAACTTTGCCTGAAGCACAGAATGTTAATGGTGGCTTAAATAGCAACATCTTTTCCAACTCCTGTCTTTTCTTTGTACAGTTATGCAAGAAGAAATGGACCTGATATATTGAAAGCGATAGCACTAGAAACCTAGTTCCTGAAAGTACTATAATCAATTTAGCTGTGATGGCATTCCAGAAAAGATTCTCTTGCTGGTATCATAGTGCCGGTATATTGGGAAGATCCCAGGTTATGAAAGCTGCTATATGAGGAAGCTATTGTCTGTGTCAGATTCTTTGGTATCTTCATAAAATCTACAAATGTTCAAAGTTTCTTTGGCAAAGGGCAGAAATCATATTTGGTACCAATACAGTTTTATGTTGTCAGTTTTGCCTTTTGTTATTCTATGAATAAGCCATAAAAATAGTCATTTTCCAAAGAACTGATAGACCAGAAAGAGTTGGGAAAGGAGAGATTAGTAGGATGGGGTTTTAGGCAAGCTACTTAGAATCATTGCTATTAAGTAGCAAACAAACTGTTGTAAAATAATAATAAATAAAATATTAAAATGGTTGTGCAGAGTAGAAAGCCGGCTTAGGTAGTCCTATAATTTTTGATGAAGGCTGCTTGAAACTGTTCCTATTCCGAAAGAATTATCACAGATCAAACATTGAGGACCTTATGAGCAGAATGACAGGCTAAGTAATTGTAAAAATGAACACACTTAGATTTAATTCAAATAGACCCAACTTTCATTAGAGTGTCGGACAGATATTTTTCACTGAATCAAATCACAATTCAGAAACAAACATTGATGCACACTAGCATGAATCATCTCCTATTCTGACTCATTCACTAAGGCTGACTTCCTCTCTATCCAGGTACTTTCCAGAGGTGGTAGGTTTGATTCCTCTTGTAGCTGACATTGAAGTGGCACTCCAACAAATCTGGAGGCCATGAGTGAGGGTAAAACAACTACAGCACCTATTGCTCAGGAATAAGCTGCAAGTGTGATGCGGTTCTCAAACATTTAATAGCCAAGGAAATTAAATAGACAATATGTATTCCTTAACTCAAGGTGAAATGGATTGTCTAAAATTTGATCTCAGTTAACATGCTCTGGCTTGCATAGGGCAATCTCCTTGCCCAAATAAAAGCCCAAATGCTCAACAAGACAACCGTTCTGTGAGTCTTCATCCCAATAGATTTTTTTAAATTATTATTTTAATCAAAAGCAATTTCAATAGGTAGATTTTTATCAGCAAACGAAGGAGTGATGTAGATGGTTTGATACATCTTTTTTTGCCCACTTGGTATCAACTCTAAGTTGCTTTGCTGCCTTCTGAGAAAAGATAGAAAATCCCTTTTGCTTCCCCCCACCCACCCACCCCAAAGGACAAAATCAATCTTAGGAAGCTTTTTTTCAAAGATGAGGAAGAGGAAAACACTGCTGGAAACAACAGCCATATATATGCTCTTGTTTACAGTTTGGCTCTAAAAGTCACGGTGCCATAATCTCTCCTAATTTTGGCTTATCCAGCAGGGGGCGCTTCAGTGTTCCTGCTGCTCAAATATGGTAGCGATTGTCCTGCAAAAAGAAAGAAAAAAGTATTTCATTCTTGGATGATGGTAATTTCCCACTGCATTGTTATTACTATAATTTTACGTGATTTTATTATAATGTAGCAGTGACATCTTAAATTTGCATCCTATTCCTCCTCCTAGAAATCATCAGAGCAACACTCAGATAAAGGAACATTAGTTATCATACACAAAGTTGACCCAAGTTCTAAATGGAAGGCTTGTTAAAAATTAACTAAAACAGAGGCTGCAAAAACAGATCTGAAGACAAAAAAAGGACTTTGTGATACTATGAAAGGAGGAGGTTCTCACTTACTGAAATAAGGCTCCAGATACTTCATCTACGATGCTTCCTGCATAAAATAGAAGAAAACACGGGTTCATGTTTCTAGAACAAGTTCAGGAAGATAAGGAGATTGATTGTTAATTTGCATCGTCTTGTCTCCAAAAAGCATACATAGGCTAGATTCATACATCACACAAACCATGATTTATTGACTATAGTTCATTGAATAAACCACAATTGAATGAGTTTGCATAACAGACAACTATTAGCCATCATTTAGAAACTGCAATGGCTGCAATCATGCAAGGTGCTAAGCAAAATAAAATATATGGCTTAGTGTGGTATGTGAATTCAATCACGGAGATGTCTGTGGTAGGAAGGGTTCCCTCCTGTTTCTTCTCAATGATTTGAGAGATGGCAAATCAATTGAATCAGTCAAGATTTGAACTCAGGTTTATTTTTTACACCTGGCTGGCTTTGACATCCTGTCAGTTAAACAAAAATAAATAAATAACCCACAGCTCACCTGGTGCACAGGCTGTCTCACACACAGGACAAATGTAGCAGAAATGACAATACTGTGTGAGGAAAAGAACACAGGTGTGGTAAGATTACTGAACATTCATGAAGCCAGACTACTAAACCTTGCAGGAGAATAAAGAGAAGAGATGATGGTGGCAGAGAAACTGAAATACCAACCTGGCAGCTTGTGCAGTAGTCACTGCTGTCTCCATCTTTACAAGGGCACTTGTCACACTCCGCACAATGCTGGGGGAAAAAAAGATGGGAGAAAGAAAAGCGGTAGTAGGATGCTTAGCTAGGGAGAAATGAAATGTTGAAATGTTTGTAAAGATCTCCCCAAACCCAGCAAGGATAATTCAGTGTGACCTTGGAAATCAGCGTGACCTTGGAGGTCTTCTAATCCAACCTGTGCTCAAGCAGATGATCCTATACCAATTTGGACAAATGGCTGTCCAGTCACTTCTTAAAAGCCTCCAGTATTGAAGCACCCACAACTTCTGAAGGCAAGTTGTTCCATTGATTGATTGCTATCACTGTCAGGACATTTTCCCTTAGTTTTAAGTTGCTCCTCTCTTTTTTTCAATTTCCATCCATTGCTTCTTGTCTTGCCTTCTGGTGCTCAGGAAAATAGGTTGACCCCACTCTTTTTTGTGGCAGCCTGCATATACTGCTGCATAGGAGGGCAGCAGTATTGATGTATTAATTGTTTCAGCTTATTTACTGCTTCATTTGCCAAGACTCTGAGCAGCTTACAGTAAATAACATAAAACCAAAGCATAGAAAATGAATAACATAACTATAATAATAGAAAAGTTTAGGTTTCAGAATAGGCATTTACTGATCTACTGTTTAACTTCAGACATATAAGCATTTGTTGAGGAGTAGGGCTTGGGAATCAGCAGTTCACTATTATAATAATGTATATTTGTACATGTGTACATATACACATTCAAAAAATACTCTAAATGTAGATATGCTAGTGCTTTAGCACATATGTACACTAAAAAAATAAAAATATCTTTAAAAGCCATATTCAACAGATCTAATCAAATTGCAGGTATATATTAAGGGTCTGCAATGATCAAGTTGCACCCGTTGGCAATGCCTTAAGGAAACTGCATTTTTTTTTTTGGTCTCACGTCTGATTTAAAGAGGTGCTGACACGCTCAGCCACATGCATGCTGAATAATCTTTTCTTCATCAAATCCAGTCCAATATATAGCCCAAGGTTTCTGTCTGTCTGTTTCTCTCTCTGTCTTTTTCTCTCTATTTCTCTACTGTATCTATCATCCACCATCTCTCTCCATCTCTTTACCTAATCAATATATTTATATCCATATTCATATACACATATATACTGACGTGTAATCTGTTAATATAAGTGGAAAATTAATACATAATTTGAATAAAATAATCTTAAACTAAATGATTTTTCAAGTTTCTTTACTGTTCTTTTCCTGGCAATGTTATTTAATACCCTTTTAAATAGCATCAATATATACCAAAGATTTTCAGTAACTTTCTAGAATAAATTTGAAGCTAAGAGGGAGGAAAAAGAAACAAGCTAATTTGCTGGGGTTTCAACAGTTTAACAATCTTAGGGAATATGGACAGTAAATCTGTGGCCGGATGAATCATCAGAAAATATTGTGTATATGCAGGTGTTTCAGACATACACTGACCTATAAGACTCTTGGTTTTTTTTTCCAGAGAGGATTCTGAGCTCATCTACTTCATATATGTGTGCTATATAAGCAGAAACAGAGTGCAAATGGCAAGGGGAGGACAAGCTACACGTGCCACATTCCTCTGTGACTTGATCTCCACCTGCCAAATTACTGTCTCTGAACCAGAATGTTTAGATCAGGGGCAGATAAGAAGCAAATGAAATAGACTTTCAGCAAAGACCTAACCAGAAATAAGGAGAGAAAAGGGGGAGAATCCATTCCACAGTACAGTTCCTAATGCATTGGTGGAAAAAAAGAGGCACAAAGGCATCCTTGTGAAATGTGTGTTATGTAATGTTCCCAAATTAGTTTAAGGTGAATGAAAAGCCATACCAGTTTGGGATTAGAATAAGAATAAAGAACCAGTGATCCTTCAGAATTTGCTGAATGAGAACTTTTATCAGCTCTCACCATGGGCCATATTAGTGGGGGCACTACAGGTCAGCAACCTGTAGTAGGTTCCTAACTGAGAATAATAAACTATCAAAATCACATGCAAAGGTTTTCCTGCATTACCTTGCAGAAGGCACAGTAGTGGCAAACAGAACCTGCTTCATACTCATTGTCTTCACCTTCTTCCTCTTCCTCTTCATCCTCATCCTCATCTTCAAATGAAAAGAGATACAGAGACAGCTCCATTATGGTTGTTCTCTGCTGGTTTTTTGTTTTGTTTTTGGTAGGCTAGTTCTAGAGGGACAAACAAACTACGAAATGGGACCCCCAGAGTAGGGACTGAACAGAAGATGGTTGGAAATTTTGAGTTTTCTGAAGAAAATATAAACTTCATTTGATTTCGAAAGAGGCTGAAAGCCAAGGATAAAAGCATTAGGTTATTTACCTTACCTTATCAGAGTCCTTAGTAGATCTAATTTCTGTTATTTACAGACCTTTGAATTATAGCAGTGCTACAATTCAATGCTATAACTCAATTCATTTATAATTCAGTTATAGCATGTCAATTATAAATATGATAGCAGTGCTCCAATATTTGAGAGGCTGTTACAAAGAAGAGGTAGTCAACTTATCTTCCAAAGCACCAGAAGGCAAGACAAGAAACAATGGATGAAAACTTAATCAAGAAGAGAAGCAACTCAGAACTAAGAAGAAATTTCCTGACAATGAGAACAGTTAACCAATGAAATGAGTTGCCTTCTGAAATTGGGGTGTTCCATCACTGGAGGCTTTTAAAAAGAGACTAGACGGCCATTTGTCTGGAATGGTGTAGGGCATCCTGCTTAAGCAGGGGGTTGGACTAGAAGACCTCCAAGGTGTCTTCCAACTTTGATATTCTGTAATTATAGTCCTACACACTTGGGCTGACAAGTGGGCAAAAGCTAGAATAGGGTTTTGGAGATTGAATTGATTGGAACAAAATGTTCAGGTTCTCTGAGATATTAAAGGAGGCTATGATGGCAGCTGAAGCATGTATTGCTGGCTTTCCTCATTATATCTGCTTTTTCCAATACATTTCCCCCCAACCAGCTGTCCTCCAGATGTAGATATCAAATTTCTTTTTCTATGATGGCTTGAGAGTAGGTTGGGCAAGATTTCCCCCATCAATCATGTACCTCCCCCCTCAATATTCACACGTTTCTCACCTTCTTCCTCTTTATGGTGCTTTTTGGCTTTTTCATAGGCCTCATGTTTGTGATGGGGCTTTTGTCGGTGTCGTTCATGCTTATGCTCATCCTTTTCCTTAGAAGGTACTTCATCAGACTCTTCTTTGTCATATTTCCGATGCTGATAATGGCCACTTTGGTGACGGGATTTGTGAGCTGTATCTTCATCATCCTCGTCTTCATTACTATTATTGCTTTCTTCTTCTTCGTCTTCTTCTTCTTCGTCTTGTTCTTCTTCATGTTGATGCTCATCGTTATCGTCATCATCAGCATGCTTTTGGTGATGGCGTTGATGATGATGAAAATCATTATCATCGTCATCATCATCATCATCATCATCATCATCATCATCATCATCAACATCATCATCATCATCATTGCCATGAACTCCATGATGTCTATGATGGTGGTGTTGGTGTTCATTATCATTATTGTCATCACTGTCATCATCTTTATGGTGTTGGTGATGGCTGTGATGGTCATGATGTGACTGACTGTCATCATCATCTTTATCATTGTCATTGTCATCATCATCTTCTTCATCATCATCATTATCATCATCATCATCATCATCATGCCTTTGATGATGGTAGTGGTGCTGGTGTTCAGCATCATCTTCTTCTTCATCATCATCATCATTGTCTTCTTGATGCTGATGGTCTCCCTGATGATGCCTCTCTTCATCACTGTGGTGATGGTGGTCTTCATGATGTCCCTGATGATGATAGTCATCATCATCATCATCATCATCATGATTTCCATGATGTTTATCATGATGATGCTTGTCATGGCTGTTATCATCATCATCATCAACATTACTATCATCATGGTGGTGATGGTCAATGTGGTGATCTGCACTATGAGGATGAGAATGTTCCTCTTCATTGTCATCATCATCATCATGTTCAGAATGATAACTTCCTTGGTAATGTCCAGCATCCTTATACTGAGCAGCATGATGATGAGGATGGCCATCATTATCGCCATCATCTTCTGTATGTTGAGAATGGTGTGTATCATGTTGATGCTCTTTGGGATGATAATGTTCATTTCCATGGTGTTCTACATCGCTTTGGTGATGGTGTTGTTGACCCTGTGTTCTAGGAAGCTGGAATGAACAGAGGAGGACCAGAAGAAGGCCAAGCATACAGACTTTCCTAGAAGCCATGGTAAGAGCCTTGCTGCTTGCACCCAGAATTCTTAATGGAAGTCCCAAAGACAGGCAATCAGGAAAGGCAGACAGCACCCAAGGAGAACTCAGGGGTAGAATACTGTTTCCAGTTAGGACTTATGTGAGTGACGTTTGCAGCTGGCCTAAATTAGCCCTTCAGTTCACAGCCAATAGCTGCCTGGCCCAGCCTCCGGGATAGATGAGAAAATCAAGCCATGGGCTTCCTGCCATGCCCTTATATGACAACACTGGGCTGGGATGAGTTGGGAAGCAACATTAGGGAACTAAACTCTTTGCCAAACCGCCACGCTATTATTAGCTGCTCAGAGCAACTGCACCTTAGTCTCTCAAAGTAGAAGCCAGCAAGTTTAAGTGCAATGAGAAATATGAGCTACAGCTCCTAGATGGGTATCAGACTAAGAAGTGTGTAATATAGCAGAATCCTGGTTTCTTGATTGTCTGGGATTAGATGAAGTGAATCTGTCCTTGAAAGGAGAAAAGGGCCTTGTGGATTTAGAGCCGATAATTGGATTTCATTAAACCAAACAGTTTAGAAATTGGGCCGGAGAAGATGATAAAAGATTAGCAATAACAAGTAAATTGTTGTAATTGTGTTGCTCTTGTGTATATGTGTATTTGTTTTCATTTAAATACTGCAACATGACCATTTTAGTTAAGCTTGCACTAAAATAAAACAACATAGATACATTGTCAATATCTCCTTCTTTGATTTATTGGTGTTGGATGAAATGCAAGGCTGGACAGACTGAAACGTACGTATATGAGTATCAAAATAGTGAAGTGCATGAAGAAGTAAAAGACTGGCGTATGGCATAAAAAGATTTGGAGGGTGAGGTTGAAGGAAACTATGTGGTCAGAAGTTAAAGAGATGGTCCGGGGTATTTAAAGAGGGAGAGAGTGACCTGGAAGGGAGACACATTCTCGGCAGTTTCAGGAATGTGCTGATGGATCCTGGGAGCTGAAACCAAATCCAAAGTGCCGGCTGAAATCTATAAATACCTGTGCAGCTCTACCACACTCCTACTGATACTGGTGTTCTGTTCTCTGGATGACAGTGGAAGAAGGGTCCATAACAGGTTGTGTTGAGCCAATCAGACTCTTGAACACCACCAGACTCTAGGAGAAATTTAAATATAATCTCTTTTAGGCATGGGGAGAAACTACTCAGGTGTAGGTGCTATACCCAAATATCAACACAAAGCACAAACCAAAATTCATGCAACAGGACCTGATGAAGAGTTTGCTCTTTTCCACAACCTGCTACTCTTCAGATGTCTTTGGAACATTGTCCCCACATTATTCCAAAGGTGCTTTTTCAAAAGGCAACTGGACTTTGTTTTTCCTTGAAGATGTTTCACTTCTCATTCAAGAAGCTTCTTCAGTTCTGATTGAAGGATGAAAAGTAAAATGTCTTCAAGAAAAAATAAAGTCCAGTTGCCTTTTGAAAAAGCATCATTGGGACAACAATGACCTGGGTGACTGAACATCTCTTTAGATACCCCCCCCCCCAATTATTTAGCTAAATGGATTCCTAGCACATATAGAATACACCCAGATTAGGGAAGGCTGACTTGTGAAAGGGCCTGCTTCTCCTTTCCTTTTACTCTCTTCCATTTGCTCAAGTTTCTGAATTTGCCTTTCTGGGCTTGCATCTTCATCAAGGAATCCTATTTCTTTGGCACCCTGTGAGACCCTGTCTTGACCTGATCAAAAATAGGAATTTCTTAATCTTTGGGAACCTAGACCAGGCCCACCTAATAAGCAGCTGCTCAGGCTAGAATTCAGTTTCTTCAAAAGAAACAATCAAAAAGCCCAAAAGAAAAGAAAGACCCTAACACTCTTCACAACCAATCAACACCAATATGAGCAAAGATTAAGACAAAGTTGAACAGTAGACCAATAAGCAAGAAATAAACAATACCCCAGTCAAGGAATTATCAATAAGGCAAACAAACTAACAATAAATGATAGCCTAACCAAGGAACCACCAAGAACATCCGACCTACAGTGATAGGCCAAGTCACTAGTATATAAAAATAAGAGCAAACCCTACTCCCTCCTAGCACTGATGATGTTGCCTTGTTTGGTAATGAAATATCTGCAAGAAAATCACCAAACTCAATGAATACCAAGGACTTGTCAAGACCTGGAATTTAAGATATCTTTGAAGGTAGAAAAGGGAAAGCACTAACTGCCAACAGGTCCTAATCTGCAAATAATCTAAAGATCTCTGATTCTGAATAATTCTAGCTACAATTTGTAGTTTCTGTGCCAGTGATCTGGGTTCTTAGCTAGCTCTGGTATTTCTGAAAATCACATGCAAAGCAGGATGTTTAGGGTTAAGTTTGCAAGAATTCCTGAACCAAGGTATGAATGAGAGACAGGAAAGGACCAAACTTTTAGTTCAAATCAATGTTCCTCATCAAAATGGAAACATTATTGAAGCAACAAATCCCTTCAAGTTTTTCAAACGGCAGATTTTATTTTTATTTAAAATGTATATTCCCCCCCTTCAACACATAATACAGTCTTTCAAAGTGGGACTGCTGGGTGCCATTAAGTACAAGAATTAAAATAAGTGAGTTGCCCCACTGATGATACCAAAAGAGAAAAATCCTAAGAATAGGATTTTTAGTGGCATTTGGCCTTTAGATCGTACACTGGAAAGTGTGCTAAAAACTTACCAGATCTGGACAAAAGTGAAATTTGATTTATTTAGTATGATTATTCCCCATGTGTTAGCACTTTATTTATTTTATTTTATTTATTTATTTGATTTGCCAATTGTTTACAAGATAATAAGTATAAGCGTATACATAGTTGTGAATACATGAAATGGGTACATATAAGAAAAATAAAAGAATAAGAGAAACAATAGGACAGGGACGGTAGGCACGTTGGTGCGCTTATGCACGCCCCCTACAGACCTCTTAGGAAAGGGGTAAGGTCAATAGTAGACAGTCTAAGGTTAAAGTTTTTGGGGTTTGGGGAAGAGACTACAGAGTCGGGTAGAGTATTCCAGACGTTGACCACTCTGTTGCTGAAGTCGTATTTCCTGCAATCAAGTTTGGTGCGGTTTACTTTGAGTTTGTATCTATTGTGTGCTCTTGTGTTGTTATGGTTGAAGCTGAAGTATTCATTGACAGGTAGGACATTGCAATGTATGATTTTATATACCATGCTTAAGTCAGACCAAAGACGGCGTAATTCAAGGTTTTCTAGTTCTAGAATTTCAAGTCTGGTGGCATAAGGTATTCTACAACGAGTAGAAGAGTGGAGAACTCTCCTTGTGAAATATTTCTGGAGTTTCACTGCAAGTTAGTCCAGACAAGAAGCACGACCAGGAGTACTGGACTGGTTCTATCTTTATTGTAAAGTTAACTGAATTTTGCAAGATTGAAACCTTAATCCTAACCCCTTCTCTCATTTTACTCTCCAGAAAACTAGACAAGATCTCTTCTAAGCTAGAGAGAGACAACAGTCATTGGTTTCATTTGAGATGGTGATGAATCTGCATACAGATGGGAGGTTGACTTACTGTACACCCTCAGGTATGGAAAAACTTAGATGATAGAAGGAAAGACTTTGGACAATCCTGCTAACTAGCTCTGCTAGTTAGCAGGACTTGATTCTCCGCTGTGGTGCAGCTGCAACAATCTGGAATGAACACACTTAAAACAGTAGAGATAGTAATAGATTTTAGAAGGAGCCCTCCTATTCTACCACTTCTTACAATGTTAGACAACGCAGTATCAATAGTAGAGACCTTCAAGTTTCTGATTTCTATAACTCCTAGGACTTGAACTTCACTCCACTCTACTCTTCTGAAACATTTCGCAAATCCTCCCTTTGTCAGTGGACTGAGAACACACTGCAGCTATTCTGCAGCTCTCCCTCCAGACTCCCAGGGTCATTCTAGCATGCTGTTACATCATATATTTAATCATTTCTCCCCTTGCCACATTTGAAAGTATGAAAAGTATTTTTTTATAGGCAAAATATTGTAAAAATCAAATAAACTCTATTTCTGCACTCCTGTTAATTTTCCCTTAACCATTAACAAATTCCCTTAACCATTAACAAAATTTGATAAGACTGGAAACTATATTGCAAGCAAAAATAAATACCAATAAAGGAAAATATTTAGGGTGAAATGAAGGCTGATAAGTACTGATGCTGTAAGTTTGGGTAATAAAATGTCCCCAAGAAAACAATCAAGTTCAGAGAGCACCAAAGGACCCAAATAGTTGCAAAAGATTGCTGAGTCAGGCCTAAATAATTGACAGCAGAACCAAAACTGATTGATTCAAGTAAAAGTAACAGAGAAAATCCTTTACACAAACTTTCTTGAGCTCACAAATGAGTTACCCCAATTTAATCCACACACCAAAGAAAAGTATCTGTAAGTAGAAGAAAAGTTAACTAAAAATTTTCCTCTCCAAAGTTACCCATTCACTAAATTAAATATCATATAAGACACTCCTATCTTACACCTCCATAAAGATCACCTTCCCTATAAATATTTCTAGCTGCTTTACCCCCAACTTATAGCCATCTTTCAAGGGCAGATTCCTTGCTCTTGTAATGAATTACCTTCAGTCCACATAGCATGTTTAGCGTTCTTCTTGTGAAACTTCAGCTTGGAGTTTCTCTTGACAAAATTGTCAAGACAAAAGGTTACTATGTGGCTGCAAATCCTATCCCAAAGATTTTCATGAACTGCAGTTGTGTCTTATTTCTTTGGAAGATACTTCTTCAAATGAGAATTTGCAACAGCAGATAGTGGCCACTTGATATAACCCGCAGTATCAGGTAAGAGTGGCATGCAATGGGTATGCTTGGAAGTATTGCTTTTGTACACCTTTTGTGTGTCTTTGCAAATCACAATAATTTCCTGTGAGGTCATTAAAGCTGAAGTTGTGACATAAGCATAAAGGAAATGCTAGGGGCTCAGTAAAAGCTGTACTTCCATTCATGCTTAATTGAAAATAGATTCCATCAAGACCAATTAGACTGGCTTCTAACTAGAAATGTACAGAACTGTGTCGTAAGTCCTCTTTCAGAGAGACGGGCATCTCCAAGCATTCTTGG